TGGGCGGGGCTGTGGGTTGTGACAGGGCACCCATGCACCCACACACCCGAGGGGCAGGCAGGGCTGGGGGTCCTGTCCCGGCAGGGCACCCACACGGTGGCTCTTGGGGGAGGCCCCGCCCCCAGTTGCTCCCACGCTGAGATTTGGAGAAGTTCCAGGTGCTCAGGCTTTGCTATTTGACGCCTGAGCTCTGCGGGGGTCTGTGAGTCAAACCCCTCCCAGGGCCTGGCCCCCTGCGCTCCCTCCTCTTCCTCCAGGCTGTCCTCCCAGAGCATGCGGCCCTGGGCCAGGGCCAACGCCTCAGAGCGCCTGTGTGCTGCACTCAGCCCGGCGCCCCGTCCTGCGGGGAGCCTCTGTGGGCTGGGATGGGGCGCCCTCTGCGGCTCCGCGCTCGCACACGGGAGAGTGCCCGTCCCCCTGCCCCTGCGGAGAAGCCCACTTACTGGCTGCAGGAGGGAAGACAGCGGTGAGTCTGCTGAGCTGAGCTCGCCGGGTCCCGCTGACAGCTCCCTGCCCTGACGGCTGCACACACTCCCCGAGCCCGGACTGGACTTCCTGCGCGCTCGGGTGGACGGGGCGGGCCGGCGGGTGTGGCGGTCCGCAGGGCACAGGCCAGGGTCAATTCCAGAACTGCTTTTTCTCCAGAATCTTCTAGTCAGGTCTGGACTGCTGGCCTCGCCCACCAGCTCCCACCCACAGCAGAGCCCTGGCAGACCAAAGGGGCCCCTGCAGAGCTGTGGGGAACCAGGAGCTGTGAGTGTCTGTGTGTGTGTGTGTGTGTGTGTGTGTGTGTTTGCATGTGCGTGTGTGTGCGCAAGTGTGTGTGTGAATGTGTGCAAGGGTGAGTATGCATTCTGTGTGGGCGTCGGTGTGTAACCGTGTGTGTGAATGTGTCATTGTGTATGTATGTGTGCTTGTGTGAGTGTATGACTGCATTGTGTGAATGGTGAATGTGCATCTCTGAATGTGTGTGGATGTGTGTGATTCTATGTATGTGTGAATGTGCTGTAAATGAGTGTGTGATTGTGTACGCGTGTATATATGTGAATGTGTGTGACGGTGAGTGCAGGTGGATGCATGTATGATTGTATGGTTGTGTGAGTGTGAGTAAATGTGTTTGTGTTTACTGTGTGAGTGTGTGTGTGAGTGTACTGTGGAGAGTCTATGTGTGTGATTTTGTGTGACTGTGTGTGTGTGAATGGACCTGTGTGAGTGTGTGCCCTCTGGGTGTCCCTGGGGCCCTCACAGGGGGTAAGGGTGGGCTGCAGGCGAAGCTGACCCCCCCAGGAGCAGACGTCTCATCTGACGCCTGGCCAGAGGCTCGGCGCCCACAGCAGAGGGGCCGCCCACTCGGGCTTGGGCAAAAGAAAGCTGGATTGTCTGCCTGGGTGTCCCTGAGACTCTCATGACCCTCCCGTCCCTCCGGTCTGACGAGTCTGGCCTCTGCAGGCGTCTCGGGAGAAATGGACAGCCCAGCGTCGCACCCTTCCAGAACCTTCCATGACCTGGAACCTTTGGGCAGCCCCCGTCAGGACAGAGCCCGAAAGAGAGGGTCCCACACAGCGGCCTATCCACAGCACAGCCCCTCTCAGGGCGTGACCTGAGCATGACCGCTGCACTCACAAGGTGCTCCCTCAGCCCAGAGCCCAGCCCTGTCGGGGGTCTGCTCAGCCCCTCCAGTGCCAACCACTCCCACAGGAGTGACAGGGGTTGGGGAGAACTGTAAGAGCCAGGACAGGGGACGCTGGACTGAGGACGGTGGGGGACAGGGCGGACCTCCTGGAGCATGGCAAGGAGCCCGGGGCTGAGGGGCTTGTCCCTCGCTGCCCTTCCTGCTCCTGGGGGCCTCACAGCAGACAGGCCCGTTGGCGCTGGACGCGGACCCCAGGGTGCGGGAGGCAGTGGTCTGGCCGCTTGAGGGAGACCCCGGGGGCTGCTCTGGCTCCCGAGGGGCAGGAGGGAGCCCCGCCCCCGGCCACAGGGACAGTGCTGGGGTCGGCTGTGGCCTCACCCCTGCCAGGTCCGCTCCCTGGATCTCAGCCCGCAGCGGCTGTGTCTCTGCCTGAGTGCTCAGGTCGGCTGAGGCTCATCTGAAGCTGAGGAGCGGGAATGTAGTTCCCAGTCCCCACCGCCACCCTGGAAGCCAAAGTCCACCAGCCCACGCCGGCCTCCGCTCGGACCCCTCTGAGCAAACTTGGCAGCCCAGGGCAGGTGAGGGTGCGGCGGGGACAGGACCAGCCGAGGCGAGCGGAGGGCACCAGAGGTGAATGTTCAGAGGCCTGAAGCCCAGGGCCAGAACTGGGGAGCTGAGCTCAGGGTCCATGCCCAGGAGAGGCCGCTCGTGGCAGGGCCACGGCTCCACGACCTCTGGGCCAGCGCGGCCAGACCACTGGCCCAAGGAGCAGGACGCAGAGAGGGAACAGGTGTGTGGGTAGGTACCAGGTGTGCAGATAGTACCAGGTGTGCGGGTAGGTACCAGGTGTGTCGTTAGTTCCAGGTGTGCAGGTAGGTACAGGTGTGCGGGTAGGTACCAGGTGTGTCGTTAGTTCCAGGCGTGCAGGTAGGTACAGGTGTGTGGTAGGTTCCAGGTGCGTGGTTAGTACCAGGTGTGCGGGTAGGTCCCAGATGTGTCGTTAGTTCCAGGTGTGCAGATAGTACCAGGTGTGCGGGTAGGTTCTAGGTGTGGGTAGGTCCCAGGTGTGTCGTTAGTTCCAGGTGCGCAGGTAGGTACAGGTGTGTGGGTAGGTACCAGGTGTGCAGATAGTACCAGGTGTGCGGGTAGGTTCTAGGTGTGTCGTTAGTTCCAGGTGTGCAGGTAGGTACCAGGTGTGCAGATAGTACCAGGTGTGCGGGTAGGTTCTAGGTGTGTCGTTAGTTCCAGGTGCGCAGGTAGGTACCAGGAGTGTGGGTAGGTTACAGGTGCATGGTTAGTACCAAGTGCGGGTGGGTCCCAGGTGCATGGCAGAGAAAGGCTGCAGCCTGGCCACACCCCTCCCCCACCCCTCAGGTCCTCTCTCGGCAGCACCCCCTTGCTCCCCAGGTGGGGGGAGAGGGGGCTATGTGCATCTCCCCACAGACCCTCGCTCCTTCACAACATCCCTGTCCCTCCAGGTTACTGAGTCCTGGCCCTGCGAGGTCAGGGACTGCTAGTGACCAGCATGCCCAACTTCTGGCGGCCGGACACCTGTTCAGTGTTGCCATGGCCTGGGATGTGCGTCTGTCCCAGTCAGAGCGCGTCCGAATGGGGTCCTGTGTTCCGGAGAGAGCCGTGGGGCGGTGGCCACAGGAAGGGCTTGGGGACAGACACCCACATCCCACCGCCACTGTCCCCGTCCAGTCCCCTGCCGCAGCTTTTCTCCTGGCGCCAACCCTGCACCGTGTCCCTGCCGGCGGGACTCCGGCCGTCTAGGTCACACCGAGCCCCTCTGCAGACGGGCACCCACCGGGCTGCCACAGCACCCCGCAATGACAGAGCAAAAACCATCTGCCTGGAAACGGCGTCCAGAACCCGCGTGGTGGCGTGGAGCCTGCGGCAGACAGTGCAGTGTGTTACCGGGCTCTGCTCGGAGACGTGGCCCGACCCACACTGCTCCACGGGCCCTTCTGCTTTGCTTTCTCTGAAGAGATGCAAGTGTTTGCCCGGCCCACGGTCCGTCTTTGCTGCGTTCAGGGGCAGTGGGGTTGTGGGCAGGACCTTGCGGGTCATGATGGCGCTGCTTCCCTCTCCCACGGTGCAGCCCGAGAGCGGGCTAGGGGCTGGGGTCCTCATCCCAAACGGGTGCGACTGCCAGGAAGGATCCATCCCACAGGGCAGAAGAATCTCTGAACAAGCAGGGGACAAGAGAGGCCTCTGGGAGGAAGCCAGGGGCTACGAGGACACAGCTCACCCAGGAAGGAAGTTTTGACAGTTTAGAGATGACAACGGTTGTTTAAAGAAGTTCCAAAGAAAAGCTGGTGAGAAGGGGAGAGAGAGAGAACGTCTCTGCTTTATGGCAAAGTGGGTTGGAACTGGGCACATTCTTTTAAGAGTTTCATATGCCAGCCAGAACGTAAGAGTTTTTCTGTTGGACGGACAGAAATTCCTTAGGTTGTTGTAGGAGATTTTTCTTGAACTGTTTCTGAGAACAAACACTCCCCAGGCCCTGGCCCTGAGGCACAGGCCTGGAAGTGGCCTCGGAACCTCTGAACACGTCTCTAGGGCAGGAACCCAGAGTGTTGGGCCCTGCAGGGGCTGGGGCCTCCCTGTGTGTCCCCCTCAGCCCCCCAGAGCCCAGCACCAGGACACTGACTCACACCACCTGGACGCCCCCTCCCACTCCCGCCTAGTGGACCCCAGGAACAGGCCCTTTGGGGCTGCCCAGAGCTTGCAGGTCTCAGCAGCATGGGGGGCTGCAGGGTGCTCTCGTGGGGACCTGGCTCCTGGCCCCAGCTGGATGGTGGGCACCAGCACATGGCCAACAGGGCCATGCGGACACAGCCCGTGTTCCCGAGATCGCAACCAGCTGAGATAGAAGATCCAGGGTTTGGCCCCAAGGCTGCCGCCGGCCCCCGTTGCTGTGCTCCCCGCCCAGGACCCGGTGAGGCCCAAGACCCCGGCAGATCAGCGGCGTCACCCCCAGCCGGCTCCCAAGGGAGGGGCAGCCCCACCCGGTGGGACAGTGGGTCATTCACAGGACACAGGGATGCCTCGGACAGCGGCCTGAGCACCGAGGGGCAAGAGTGTCTCGGGTCCAGCCTGGCCCAGAGAGGAGGGCAGGATGGGGCACGCCAAGCCAGTCTCTGGGGAGCGGGGTGACCGTGGGGCGGAGGAAGACCCAGCTCAGGCAGGTGTGCCCGGCCGCGCCTGCACATCCTCACTGCCCACCTGGACCGTGGGACTCGGGGACATGCGGTTGGGGCCGGGGCTGGGGACGGAGGGCCCAGAGCCACAGCCAGCCAGCCCGCACTGTCGGTCCTGTTTTATTGAGCAGTGACAGAGACAAGGTCCTTCCGGGTGGGCTCAGTGTTGGGGGGCGAGGGGGCAGGGAGGGCCGCGGGGCCACGGGCACCTGCTGCGGGCTGACCCCCCACTGCGGGGTCAGACAGGCCGAGAGGGCGGGTGGACAAGCCCGCGGCGACAGCCAGAAGCTTCCGGCCCCAGCCGGCCTCAGTTCTTCAGCAGGGACACCTCGTGCAGGTAGGCGGCCAGCATCTTGGTGCCCTCGATGTAGTTGTGCCTGGGGGAGAGAGTCGCGGGGGTGGGGCGCGGTGAGGCGACCGGGGACCCCCAGGTCCTGCTCCCCTGCCCGCCGGCCCGGCCCTGGCGTAAGGGAGCTCCCAGCGAGCTGCCCGCCGCCTCACCTGTTGAGCTTCTCGTTCTGGGAGTGGGCACCGTCGTCGGCCGAGCCCACGGGCAGCAGCATGACGTTCTTGCCCGTGGCCTCCTGGAAGGTCAGCGTCACGGGGATGCTGCCGCCCTCCCGGGTCAGGTCAGGCTCCACACCGAACACTGGAAGCGGGGCAGAGCTGAGCTGGGGCAGGGCACCCGGCCCGTGTGCCCACCATCCCCACAGGTGCCCAGCAGGCTGACCGCCCACGCCCCCCACCCTGAGAGATGTTGGTCAGCTGACCACCCACCCCCAGGGCTCCCCTCGGGGCTGACCGCCCACCCCCACGGCCCCCAGGGGCTGACCCCGGCTGACCTGTCTTCAGGGCCCTCCTCCCGGCCATGTAGTGGGGGTGGTTGAAGTCGGACACCCAGGGCTTCCCGCCGTGGCCCATGTACACCTTGAACTTGTTGGGGCTGCCCAGCTCGGCAAACTTCTTAGTCAGGTAGCTCGTGACCTGAGCAAGGGGGTGCATGCCCGTGAGCAGGGAGGTGCTCGCCCCTCAGCGCCCACCCAGTGCCCAGTGGACACGGAGTCCCAGGACCCTGGGCCCAGTCACATGGCTCTGCAGTGGCTCCCGGGATCAGGACTGTGCCAAGGGCCACAGGGGCCGACGGTTCCCTGCGGGGACTGACTGCCCACAGCTCCAAAGCCACGACTGTGGAGGGGGTGACAGACAAGACCAGTGGCTAACACAACCCGGTTACGCCACGTGCAGGGAGACTTGGAAACGGGAAAGAATTCCTCCTTTCTGAAGCTTTTCCTGCACCGTAAGTTACTTCACACCCAGCAGGTGGGTCCTCCCCACTGGGGGTCCCGATGCCACCCCCCGCCCTGTGCTCTGCAGGCACGGCTGACTCTCTGCTCCTGGAATTTGCCCCTCTGGATCTTCTGGAATTTGCCCTCTGGACTCAGCCCATGTGGTCCAAGGCACTGTCTCAGCCGCCTCAGGCCAGGCCAGGGTCAGATTCCAGCCTGTCAGCGCGCCGAGAGGGCGGGTTCCAAGGCATCCTTTCTCTCTGCCTCAGAACTGTGGTTAGGACTAGGCCTCGTTTCCCCCCTCATGACTGTGCCAGGGCTCAGCGCCCGTCAGGGCAGCCCCGCCCCGCCCGCCCCTGCGCCCCGTTCACTTGCCTGCTCGCTGACCACCTCGGGGGTCATGTTGGGCACCAGCCTGATGGAGAACTTGCCGACCACCTTGCGCGGGATCACAGTCTTGGCGCCTGAGCCCGAGAAGGCGCCCTCGATGCCGTGTAGAGACAGGGACGGGTAGCGCCAGCGGTGCATCAGGATGTCCGTCTGTGGAGAGCCGGGTGAGCCAGGTCAGGCGCGACCCGGCCATCGCTGGGGGCCCCGGCCAGGCAGCAGGCGAGTCCCACCCTCCGCGCCCGCCACCAGGAAACCGGAGTGTGCGTGCATGTGTGTGTGTGTCTGTGCCTGCGTGCATGTGTGTGTGCCTGTGTGTACATTTGTGCGTGTGTGCGTGTGTCTGTGTGTGCGTGAGTGTATGCGCACGCATGTGTATGTATGTGTCTTTGCGCGCATGCGTGCGTGTGTGTGTGTGTATGCATCTGTATGTGTGTGTGTGTGTGTTGGGGGGGTTCCCTACAGCTCTGGGTCACACAGAGAAGGGCCCGAGACCCAGGCCAGGGCTGCCAGGAGGACACAGGTGGGACACAGGCCGCCTGCAACCGCTCCCAAAGGACAGAGAAGCCCCCGTCCCTCCCCAGCATACCAGTGTCCTGGGACGGCCCAGCAGAGGACAGGTGTGTGTGTGTGTGTGGGGGGGGGGTGGAGTGAGCTCAGGGGCATGGCCTGGGGGCTGATAGGCCACAGCGGCCCCCTGTGCAGGGACCGTGTGGGGCCGGCAGCCCTGCCCAGCATGGGAGGGCAGGAGGAATCTAGGGAGCCTGGCGTCCTCCCGTGGCTGACTGGTCAGTAGGGCCCGGGAGCCCGACCCCCGGAAGTCCCGGGCGCCCACCTTGGAGCCGTGCAGGAGGGTGTCGGCGCCCACATCCTGGGCGTACTCCTGCAGGTCGAAGTCGATCTGCTCGTACAGCTGCAGCTCCTCGTCCGTCACCGGGGCCACCGCCTCGTTGATGCCGGGGATGAGCACCTTCCCCTTCTTGTCCACCAGGCAGCCTGAGAGCACACGGCCCGGTGAGCACTGCAGGGCGAGTCTGGGCTCTGGCCCTGAGCTGGCCGGGCTCCCGAGCTTTCCGCATGTAGCCCAAGAAGCCCCGACCCCACTGGGGTCCTCTGAGACAGGGGATCCGACAGAAAAGTGGGGTGCAGAGGCCTCTGCTGGGAGCACCGTGCACCTGCGCCCCTCTCACCTGCCCTTCCCACCTCTGTCCCCCTCACCCTCGCCCCTCCTTCTGCACGGCACCATGAGGAGCAGCAGCAGGTGGGCAGAGCAGCCCCTGGAGCCCCAGTGATGGCCGAGTCCCCGCAGGGGCAGAGCAGGAACAGGGACCGTGAGAGCCCAGCCAGCAGGGACCTGCCGGGGCCAGCGTCCCCAGGCAGGATGGCCACGGTCCAGGAGAGACGGGCGAGCCTTGGACGCAGGGTGGGGACACGGGGGAATGGGGTATGGGCGAGGCAGAAGCAAAGAGACGAGGGGGCTGTTCTGGGAACGGGGCGAGGGGCGGGTTCCTGAGCCGACGGTGCCCCGGGAGTCCCCAACCCCCCGCCCCGGCCCCCACTCACCCATGAGAGCGATGAGGTCAGTCATGGCCTCGTGCACCGAGCCACCGTACACCCCGGAGTGGAGGTCTTTGTCGCTGCACTCCACCTGGGGGGACAGAGCCACGTGCACCGCTGCTGAACCGTCTCAGGTGACGATTCAACAAGGCAGTTGCACAGACGTCTCGGAAACGCGCTGCAGAGTGAGCCAGGCATCTGCGGGCGACAGGACTCTGGCCGTGCAAATCCCCGGGGGTTAGCATGTCCAGTTCCCCCGGGTTAGCATGTGCAAATCCCCTGGGGTTAGGATGTAACCCCATCCTAACCAGATGTTCTCCTAACGTAGTTCTCCCAACACTAGAACTACGAAAGGCCAGAAAACCTGATCTCCTCAGTGCATGGAGGACACACTCGGGACGGGGCCAGATGTGCTGACCGCGGGGCAGCCGGACATGAAAACTGCAGGGCAACACATGCAGACTGCAGGGGACCCGACATGCTGACCGCAAGGCCACTGGACATGCTGACCCCGGAGGATTTGCACACGCTAACCCAGGGGAACCGGACATGCTGACCGAGGGGATGTGGACATGCTAACCCCGATTAACTGAGCATCTGAGCATAGGTGAGCTGAGTCTGTTAGAAGCCGGTGAACTGAACTGAACTGAACTGAACCGGACGGCCACACGGAGAGGACATGCTGCTGGAGTTGAACTAAATACCCCAATACAGGCGAATGCAGAACGCACACGCAGGAGGGCCGCCAACCCCATCCCGGAGGAAGTTGTAGGGAACCCCTACCATGGGGACCTGTCATCGGCAAGGCCTGCAGTCAGCAGCCTGGGCTGACCCCTGGGCACAGCTGTGAGCAGGGTGGGGCAGGCAGGGCTGGGGCCACAGCCAGATTCCGGCACCTTCTGCCCTTCCTGGACAGGAGCCAACTCAGTCTCTCCAGGGACACAGGTCAGGGGATGAGCAGAAGGACCAAACACAAGCCCTGGTGCTCTCGGGCATGAGGAGCTCCGTGCTCCTGGGGCAGGCAGTGAGTAGGCCTTTCCAGGCCTCTGCCAGGCGTGACCTGCACGCATGCACACACGACGCACTTGCCTGTACTCAGGCACACACGCACGCACACGTACGTGCACTCACACGCACAGACACGCAGGCACGCTACCTCGATGAAGAAGTAGCAGATGCCCCGCAGGCCGTAGGTGATGCACGGCTTCTTCTTCCCCAGCCAGTAGTTGTCGGAGATGCACACGTAGTCCACGTCTTTGAAGAACGTGTCCTTCTGCGCAAAGATGAGCTCGTCCAGGCCCTCGGAGCCCGACTCCTCCATGCCCTCCAGGCAGAAGCGGATGTTGACGGGGATCTCCTGTGTGAGGGCAGTGCCGCCGCGTGAGGACCCCACTGTCCCCCAGGCCCCACGATCCACACACTCCAGAAGCCATGAGGCCCCGGGAGCTGCGTCTGAGAGCAGCTGTCCCTCCCTCTCCATCGCCCTGACCCGCGCTCCCTGTCCCCAGACACCAAGGATGGACGCAGGCCTGCAGGGAGCCCGACCTCAGCCTCCCCCTCCCAGGGGGCCTCTCGGGGACCCGCATGGGGCGGACCCAGGGCTTGACCCAGACCAGAGACAAAAGCACGGCACAGGACAGAAGACACACAACTGCCGACGCCCGGATGGCCACCGGCTGGGATCACGGAGAAATGAGTAAGAGTCAAATGCACACGTGCATGTGTGTGCTTGTGTGCATGTGTGTGCACGTGTGTGTGCTGGGGGGGGGGGGGGTGAGGAGGCCTCAGGCACCTGCCTGCTCTTGGCCTCTCACAAACCTCCGGCAACATCAGAAAGTAAGTCTTAACTTCTCCCAAGCAGTGCTCAGGAAATGTGGGGTTCTCAGCTCACCAGGGTCAAACCCGGGTCAGCCCCAGGAGAGAAATTTTTCAAATCACTTTCACTTCCAGCCGCTAACGCAGCCAGGCACGAGAGCCGCCGGGACGGGACTTTGAAGCCCTCGATCGGTCACACCCACACGTTCCCGCAGCGCTGGCAGCCGCAATGTGCTGAGACAGGTACGGGGCAGCGCCCGCCACGCCCGTGGCCTCTGTCCTTGCCAGCTCTCCCGATGGACCCCGGGGAGGTTCCGCAGGGTGCGTACCTGGTTTGTCTTCTGGAAGGCTTCCAGGGCGTTCAGCCAGCCGGCCACCGGGCCCTTGTCGTCCGTGGACCCCCTGCCGTACAGCTTGCCTGCAAGAGCCAAGCGCCAAGTGGCCTGGTGCGCGGGAGGGGGCTGTCTCTCTGACACCGTGGCCCCGGGCTCCGGAACCCCCAACACTCTGCATCCCACGGGGCCCCCCCAGAGTGCAGGTGCTCAGGCTGACTCCCACCCAGTGGGCAGGGGCCATGACGGGCTGTCCCCGAGGGCCACCGAGCCCCCCGCCCAGGGCGAGAGAGCAGGAAGCAGACCCTCAGGGTGTCCTCCAGGCGGGCACTGAACTCCTGGGGGTGCCACCTCTCTCAGGCCAGTCCACCCCCTCCCTGCCCTGTCCTGGGGGCCACGCCCGCCCCGTCCCTCTTTACACCCTGCTCTGGGCAGCTTCCCATCAGGGGGTCCAGCCCGCCCATCCAGGGCTGTGGTCTCCTTGGCGGAAGGGCACCCACTTCCTGCCCTGCCCAAGCCCCTCCGATGGCCTGTTCCCACCCTGTTCCCACACAGGCCGGGGGCGACCAGGGCTGCTGGGAGGAGACGTGATGACCAGAGCTGCCCCCCACAACCGTGACAGGACGCAGTGGCAGGGCGAGGGGACGGTCACTGCAGCTCCCCCACGGCCCCGGGGGGCATCGCTGTGTTGGGGGCACAGGAGAGGCCACACACAGAGGTGACAGCGCTACAAGGGCGGGGGCCAGGCGGGGCCCGCTGGGCAAGGGGGGGACTCCGGGGCCAGGAGACAGGACTTGGACAGGCCTGAGCACAGCAGCTCCTCAGGGCGTGGACCCGGCCCGGGGACAAGGTCCCGCAGGCAGGTTGGCACCAGCCATGCACGGGGAGCGAATGAAGCGGAGCCTTTGGACCCACAGGCCCTCGGGCCGCCACTGCAGGATGCCACCACGCCCCGTGACAGCAGGGCTCCGTGACAGCAGGGCTGCCGCGGGCCGGGGCCACACCCTTTTCCCAGGACCGCCGGGCCTACCGTCGCGTTCCACCAGCGTGAAGGGCTCGCTGTCCCAGCCGTCCTCCAGCGCGGCCGGCTGCACGTCCAGGTGCCCATAGATGCAGACGGTCTTCTTCTTCGGGTCTGAGCCCAGCTTGCCCAGCAGGATGGGGGGCAGGGGGATCTCGGAGCCGTCGGGGAGCTGCAGGGAGAGGGGACCCCCGCGCTGACCCCGTGTCCAGACAGCCTCGCCGGGCCGGGACCACCGGCACGGTGAGACGGCCCCGGACTCCACAGTGCCCACTGGGCAGCTCCCACAGAGACAGCCTGCGAAGGGGCAAAGGCGCGGGGGCCTTGGGCCCATCTGGGGCCCCATGAGCTCCGCACTCGGCCCCCCCCCCGCCCCATAGAAACCTGCCTGGACTTGGTTTCGTCGGGGCTCTGGGAATACCCAAAACGGTTTCCTGTGTGAATGAATGCTAAGGTTCCCCGAACTGCACTTCTCCCCAAGGGCAGGGTCCCCTGAGCTGGGGGGAGGGGAGGGTCCTCTGACCTGGGGAGAAGGTCCCCTGAGCTGGGGGGGGGAATCCTCATTGCAGCCTCCCCTGGGTCCCTGTCCTGGCATCTTTCTCGGGGGGAGGGGGGAGAGAACCCCCACCCCAGCTCTGCATAGAGCCACGGGCAGGCCGGGATGCAGCTGGGGGCTGGGGGTGGGCAGCTTCCAGGGCCACAGGATCTGCAGGGACCAGGTGGGTCGAAGGTCACAACGGAGGCCATGAAGACTCTGCATGGCCCGTGTGCCTCTGTCCCCGCAACCCCTTGCAGGATGGCCGTGGCAGAGGCCGAGAGCTGCCCAGGAGGGCCTGGCTGTACTCTGCTGATTGGGCGTCCGTGGGTCCTGCTGCGAGGGCCCTTCAACCCCTGGGCCCTCAGAGCCCCAGAGCTGCTCTCTAAGAAGACACGGGCCACAGTCGCTGCGTCCTCAGCCGCCTCTCTCCGCTCTCCAGCAACTAGCCCCCGGGCCCACTGCTCCCTAAGGTCACCTATGGGGCCCAGAAGCCATGCGTGACCAGGTTGCCTGCACCTGTGGCCAGAGGAGGCCCAGGACCCTAAGGTCATCTTCCCTCGAGACACGCCTAGGGACAGCCAGCAGAGTGCATGTGACACCCCGCCCGGCCGTCACTGCCCGCCACGGTCAGCAAATCCACAGTGGGAAGTCCCGTGAGGGCTCGGCAGGACTCCAGGCCAGCGACCACTCCCTGCAGCGGGCGTTGCGTAAGACCAGATGTGCCCGCATCGGGGCACAGGCCCTCAGCGCTCAAGCCACGTCCACCCACGGCACTAACACCGTCGGCGTGCCGGGCTCCCCACGGACAGGGCTGCCCTCTCATGGGGACCCGCGAGGTCACTGGGGCTGGGGAGAGTCACTGTCCCGGGGCTGGGAAGAGACCAGGACGAGACTGAAAGGGGGCAGCTTTGAACCCACCCGGCCCGGCCCGACCCCCTCAGTGCGGAGAAGGGCGACAGCGCAGGCCTGGGGGGAACCAGGCTCCTGCCCGAGGGAGGCCCGCTGCGCTCCTCAGCCCAGAGCACCCCGAGACCGAACGGTTCCACCCGAAACCTGTCTAGGGGGCACGAGCGGTGCTGAGCCTGACGCCAGTCATAATTCTGCGGGCACCTGTCATAATTCTGCCAGGGGACAGGGGGACTTCCTGGTCTGGATGACTGGGGTCAGCTGTCACGGGGGCTTCTTGGGCAGCACTCAGCCCTTGGTGGGGAGGTGGGGGAAAGATGGAGTGTCATGACCCGCCCACCCAACCAGAGAATGAGCAAGGGTCAGGGTCCAACACCCGCAGGGGTCAGCGCCCAGGGCCCGCAGGGGTCAGCATCCAGGGCCCACAGGGATCAGCGCCCAGGGCCCGCAGGGGTCAGCGCCCAGGGCCCCAGGGGCCAGGGCAGACACGTGGCAGCCCCTACCGTCTGCCTTCCAATATCCACCAGTTCCACGGAGCCGCCCAGCTGCTGGATGTCGGCCGCCGCCACCTCCATCATCTTCTTGATCTCACCCCTCTTCTCGGGCCATGCAGACACGCTCTGGATGGCCACCCAGTCGGCCAGTTTCTGTGGACAGTGAGCAGGGCCGGGTCTGAAAAGGCGCTGCCTGAGGGAGCCCACTGCCAGCCACAGCTGCGCGGGAAGATCCAAGCAGACGCCAGCACGAGACGACGCCCGCAAGGAGTGTGTCTGGAGCCACGGATCACGGCAGGAAGACCAGGACACACTCAGCCTCTGAGCTGAGCTCAGGGGGCCTGGTGGTCACCACCACAACAACCGGGCCTCCCAGATCATCATTTTCAGAATCAGAAACTCCGACGGTTCCACCCGAAACCTGTCTAGGGGGCACGAGCGGTGCTGAGCCTGACACCAGTGCTTCCCCAGCACCGCAGGAACTGCACACAGAGAACTGCACTCTAGAGTGAGGTGGAGCATGCTCGATCCCCACACTTCCTGCCCAGAGCCCAGACAGAGCTCAGCGGCCGCCCAGCACCTCCTCTGCGCTCCCTCTCTGTAAAACGACTGTTCCTTCTCCCCGAAGGGCCCTTCAGCCCCACGCGGGGCGACTTCCAACCCGCAGCACAGAACTGCTAACCACCATCTCAACACAGTACCTCAGCAACTCCCCCCCTCACCCCCCACACACAGAGCCCAGCCCCCGGGGCCCCCGACCCCTTCCCCAGAGCTTGGCGCCCGACGGCAGGCCCTGCACTCTCCTGCGTCACAGTTACAGGCCCGGTGCCCCCTACCTTAATGTAGCGGTCCTGGTTGTCATCCACATACTTGAAGAGGGCGGTGAGGGCTGACATCTTTCCCGCAGGAGGAGCGGAGTTGGTGCAGCAGGAGACTGATTCCTGGAAGGAGGCAGAGTCAGGGGAGGCCGAGCACTGAGTGAAGGGCCCGGGCGGCAGCGGGGATCGTAAAGGCAGCCCTGCCCAGCACGCCCCGCCCAACGGCCAGAGGACTCCAGGAAGTGACCAGGGGGCAGATGGCTCCAGGAAGTGGTGACCGTCCTGAGGAGTTTGTCCAGGGGCCAGTGACTGAAGCAGGAGGAGGCCGATGACCACACCCAGTGGGGCGGGGACTTCCCCACAGGGACGCAGTTGGTCTGTGATCCCTCGAGCAGGTGGGCGGCCCCTCGGACAACACTCACCTGAAGCCCCGCCTGTGACCCTGGCAGCCCCCTGGGGCGCACCTCCCACACACACACACACACACACACACCCAGCTTGTCTGGGGGCCCAAGGGGTTCTGCTGCCTCACATGTGGAGGTGTGCAACGAGCATGCAGTGAAGCAGAGCAGGGAGATGTGACCTGGGGCGGGGGCGGGGGGGGGGGGCGGAATCCAGTCCCAGCAGGGGGCAAAAGGGCAGTCTCCGGTGGGTTGGCATCGGCATGGAGGCAGAGACCCTGAACGCGGGCAAGACAAATGCCCATTCAGCCCCGGCCAAAGGCGCCAGCAGGGCCGCCCCTGTTTACCCTGAAACCCCATCCAGCAGGTCGTCCCGCTTCGCAGGCTTGATCCGCCGGAGGGAGGGGCCAGGCCCACTCAGCGAATCCCCCATCCAAGGCACTCCAGTTCGGGCACTAAGGCGTGCCCCGGCCTGCCAGCCTGTAGCAGCTGGAGAGTGGCCACCTCCTCCCGCCCACTCGGACCCCGGTGGAGCCCAGCTACTAAGGTGTAAGTGCTGTGCGTGAGAACGGAGCAAGTGTCACCTCGAGATAAGTGCCAGTCTCGCTCCCCTCTGGAGACGCAGTTCCCACGGAGGAACAGCTGGACACACTGAAACTCGGAGCGGGCGGAGAAGCCTGGAACCTTGTCCAGGGCCTGCCCACAGCCGAAGTGCCTGTCCCTCGTGAGGACAAAGCCATGGCAGAGGCTATAAAGTCCTGACCGGCGGCCTCAGAGTCGGATAAAGCCAGGAGAGGTCCAACGCCGGGCCCACAGCCTGACAGCAAGCAGGCGCTTCTGCGGGGGTCTCGCTGGCCTCCTGGGACCCTGCAGGCAGCACAGCCGCCCCTCCCCAAGTTGGGAGCCGGGGACGGCCCCAGTGTCCCACGGTCTCAAGGCACAAGGTCCCTCAATCAAAGCCGTCCACTCGGGAGAGCCTGCTGCACCTGTCAGTCACAACCTCCCACCAACCCTGACCCCAGACGTCCAGACTCGGCACCCCTGACCCCGGTACCCGGGCCTGGGCCCTCTGACCCCAGACTCCATGACCCGGGACTTCTGATCCAGGGACCTCTCATCCGGGTCCCCCTAACCCAGGGTTTCTGACCCCCGTCCTCCTGACCCGGGGTCTCTGATAGACCCCATGACCCAGGGCCTTTGACCCCAGACTCGGGGCCTCTGACCCCGAGTCTCTGTTCCAGGCCCTCTGACCTGGAGTCCCTAATAGGCCCCATGACCCAGGGCCTCTGACCCCGGTGCCCCTGGCCCGGGGTCCCTGATAGACCCCCTGGCCCGGGGTCCCCGCGACACGCCCTGACCTCTGGCCCCTGACCCCGGATCTCCGCTCTCTTGGCCCCGAGGAGGCGCGGGGCGCGGGCCCGGAGGCGGGGCTCGCGGCGGGGCTGCCCCCGGCCACGCCCGCCCCTCGGAGCCCGCCCGGCCCTGCCCGGAGCCGAAGCAACCGGCTTGGGCCGCCGTCCCGGCCCGTCCCGTCCCGTCCCGTCCCGTCCCGGCCCGCCCCGGCCCGCCCCGGCGCCCGCGGCCCCGGCCAGCCCCACGGCCGCCCGCTCACCCGCCGGCCGCGCCGCGCCGGTTCCGCACCACGTGCCTAGGCCACGCCCCCGGCGCGCGCCCGCAGCCAATCCCCGGCCGCGTCCGAGGCCGGCGTCGCCCCGCCCCTCGGCGGCCGGGGGTGGCGGGGACGGACGGGGCCGGCGTGGGGGCGGAGCCTGCGCGGGGCGGGGCGAGGATGGGGCGGGGCCAGGGGCGGGCTTGGGGCGGAGCCTGCTGCGGGACGGGGCGGGGCGGTGGGCGGGGCGCGGGCGGGGCGGGGTCTTGGCTCTGCTCGGCCGAGGCGCGAGGTTGGGGGCGGAGCTAGAGCCTGGGGGCGGGGCTGAGGCTCGGGGGCGGGGCTTGGACCTGCGCTTTTGTGTCTCCCGGCTGCTTTGGCGTTTGAATCCGTTGTTTCCCGCGGGGATGCGGGGAGGCGGCCTCTGCAGGGGTCTTGCGGTCCCTCCCGCGGGCCGTCCTGCACATCTGCAGTGGAGGAACAGTCCAGTCCCAGGAGAGGCTTTGCGAACCTGCACCCCTCCCACGTCCTTTAACTTGTCTTTGAAAAGGCGGCACGTTTAACACTTGCAAGGAGAATGCTTTTTCGTGTTTTAAAATATAATGGGCTCTCCCTTCAAGTATACGCAGTCTATTTTCCTTAAGGAATATCTAGCACCCATGTCCTTGGCAGGAGTTTGTCAAATTGCAACATTTTAATATCTGATGGTCTTTTGTGGATGAGGGTATCATTTTTCTCTCCAAAAGAACGGTATGTAAAGGTTCAAAATATTTTTAGCTGTATTGTAGCCAGAAAGCTCTAAGAAAGCTTGAGCCAGGTGCAATGCGTCTTCTGGGTCCAAACTTGCTTATCCAATATTTCATTTTATTTTATTTTATGGTTTTCTTTTTCTTTGGGCCACACCCGGCAATGCTCAGGGGTTACTCCTGGCTCTGCACTGGGGGGTGCTTGGGGCACCATATGGGATGTCAAGATTCGAACCCAGGTCGGCTGGGTGCAAGGCAAGTGCTCCTCCCCCTGCTGTACCCAAACCCACTTATCCTTCGAAGCTTTTCCTGTGACGCCTGAACAAAAGCTAAGAGAACACAACATGCAAAGAAATCCAGGGTTACCCGTGGAAAGGTGAACCTCCTCCATCCTCAAAGTACTCCCCAGTGTCCCCTGGCAACCATCCTTGAGGAATTTCCCATCCTCCCTCCTTGGGGCGCAATTTGCTGTTTTTTGTTTTGGGGCCACACTAAGGTGCCACTCACTTGTGGCAATGCTCGGGGGACCAAACGTGGTACCGGGGATTGAACCTACGTTGGCCACATGCAAGGAAGCGCCCTCCCCGTCCTCATCTGCCCCTCTGAGGCTTGTAAAGAGCCCATCAGGATGGCACAGAGCCGGCCGGTGCCTCTGTCCAACCATGTCAGTGGGCAGTGGGCTGACACACCGGCCGCATCACAGTCCTGGCCAGAAGCCCCAGAGCAGGGTTCAGTTTGCATGTCCAGCGGGAGGTGCTGTGTTGTTCCTGCTCCCGGCCTCGTGTGCAGGAGGTGGTCTAGGCTCTGCCTCCGGAGTTCCCACTTTGGAGGTCAGCTTCAGCGTGAGTTTGGGGACACAGCATCGCCATGGAGGTACTGACGCTCCTCTCTGTGTCCCCCACATCCCGACTCGGGGTCCGGTGACCTTCTTTCAGGCCATCAACTTTTCATCTCTTCTCATCTCTCACCTCTCCTCTCCCTCCCTCTCCCTCTTCCTCCTTTCCTCTGCCCCCAGTTCCTTGCTCCTCCCCACGTTTCTCTCTCTCTCTCTCTCTCTCTCTCTCTCTCTCTCTCTCTCTCTCTCTCTCTCTCATCCTATGTTCTCCTTGGTCTTCTCCCTCAATAAAGCTATTCTGCTTTGAAGGAAACTGATAAGCAGTGACTCTCGGCGGGGCCCGCCTGTCCCGCAGCCCCGAGCCTGGGGGAGGGGCTGTGTAGGTGTGGGCAGCATCTGTGGGCCCCAGCATCCCTCTGAAGACTCCTCTTCTCCCCAGAGGGTCCAGGTTCCGCTGGTCCAGAACGGGCGCGCGAGGTCAGAGCCGCCAGCAGGTGGCGATGCGGTCTCACCATCCAATTCACAGCTGCCATCCAGGCTCAGGTGGTACCTGCTGGGATGGGACCAGGCTGGACCCCACCCCCAGGCTGGACCATGAACAACGCGGCTACGAAGACAGGAGCACATACTGGATTTGCTTTGGGCTGACAGGTAACTTTTCAGACATCTATTTCTGTTAATGAGTTGCAGGGGCCGTAGGAATTGGAAACTTGGGGAAGAATGTTCTGGAAGTCACGTTTGTGCTACGTCCACACAAAACTGACAGGTCGCGGGTCACAGGGACTGAGAAGAGGGAGCAGCTCCTCAGTGCTCGTGGGGACCAGAAGGAAAAGGAGTCGTGGGGGGGGGGGGTATGAAGCTTCTTCCCGCCCACAGACAAAAGTCCCAGTGGTTGGAAGTTCAAGGGCTCACCCTTCCCCTGCTCTTCCGGTCCCCCGGGGCAAGCTGTAGCTCTGAGTTATACATGCGTGTCGAGCTGAGGCTGGAGACTCACTGGGCCTCCAGTGTGCTCAGCTGAGGCAGGATGGCTCAAAGATGCCCAATTCCGGCCAGAGCGATGGTATAGCCTGGGGGGCATTTGCTTTGCATGCAGCTGACCTGGGTTCAGCCCTCGGCATCCCACAGCGTCTCCAGAGCACCACTGGGAGTAGTTCTGAGTGCAGAGCCAGGAGTAACTCCTGAGCATCGCCCAGAACCTGCTAAAATACCACTCTCCCCACCCCCACCCCCAGCCTCCGATATCTAGCTACTGCGCTTCAGAAGCGACTTCAGGCAACAGCCGCCCCTCCTCCTCACCGGTTCTGCTCAGTCCTTGCAGAGAGGGGTCACCCCTCCCCAGTAACCACTGTGTCAACAGCCTCCAAACTCCCGTTCGCAGGAACCCTTCAGTGGGTCCTTCTGCGGGTATCGTGGGCTCCCGGGGCACCCAGGGGGCTCAGGGACACTCCTGGTGATTCCCAGTCACCCCAGCCAAGCGGGATGGGCTCCAGGGCTTCACCTGGGGGTGAAGGTGATGTCAGGGGACCAGGTGATGTCAGGGTGGCTCG